ATCAATTTGATGTAGCAGTGGAATCGACAAAATTCAACAAATGCAGTTGAAAGTGGGTTACATCTCCTTTGGGTTAAATCTAGACAGGCATGAAGAAATAACATGCAAAATGCTAGTTTTGAACGCCTTGCCCAGTCTATTTTTCGAGGTTCAGATCGTCGATGTGTGTTCGAGAGGTTTGTTCACAGCCCTTGGAAATGGGTGGACCGAAGCAGTGGGAACTATGGCGCCGATCTCACCAAGACAGACCACACCACAGCATTCTGACACTCTCACTCTTTGTTGAATTGTTTCGGTCATGGCTTCTTCAAGTACTGAAAAGGGTGGTAATAGTGCGGTTCACAACACCAAAATTGTGCTGTGCTTTTTCTCCCTCGAGACTGACTCTCAGGAAGTGGGAATGAATGGCAGCGACTCAGGGACGAGGGAGCTTCTCGGTGTGGGACGATTTTCACCGACAAGTGTACAGAGCGGAACACACGAACAAGTTGACGACGAATTAAGTCGCGTGTTTTTTTTTTATTGGATTGGCAGCATCCAGAGAAGGAGGTGTGATGGTGGCATATGATGCGTGAATCAATATAGTGGCAGGATCAACATTAATCCTCTGCCGTGTCAGGCTATCATCTGCACACTTATGAGGAGGAAGAGGAAGAGGAGGCGGAGGAGGAGGCTTTGCAAGTGATAAGGATAAACACACACACACGCACGCACGCACGCACAGATACACATCATTGATAAAATATTAGGAGAAATGAATGAGAATGAGTATGGAACAAGTGATGGAGTCGGTTTTGTTGCGTAGTGTGAGAGCAACTTGTTCAGCACAGAATTTTTCCCTGCAGAGATATATCTAATCCCAATAAGTCCATGAATACCGTGATCTGACACTCGGAGGGAAGGACCCCCTTTGCACACACGTATGACAAGATTGTGGGCGTCATGCAGTTGGAGAGTCTCTTTCTCTCGTTTTTTGCTGAGAAACAAATGCTACCCCTGGGCTCTCTCACATTCATTGACCTTTGGCCCCCATTATTGCATTCATTTTTGTTTATAAGAAACCAGAGGGGGTCAGATCTACAGAACACACAGTGCCACACAAACTGAATCCTCGTGACACATTCCATCAAATCTCACACAAACACTAAAATCCAATAAACGCAGGTTTCCGGGTCGAACCAAGCATTCATGTGCATTAACTCACACTATAATTCATTAAATTCAAAAAAGATGTCAAGCTTGTAGAAGACTGTAGCATTTTTGTTTTTTCTTGTGTACATGCTTTGGAACTTGAATTTATGATGGGGTCTATCATTCTGCCATAATATCTTGCTTGTGTATTTGTTTATTTTTCTCCAACCACGGTGGACAAGTTTGAAGGAATCACAATAAGAACACTCTTTCATATATTTATATTTCAATATATTTCAATATCTGCATAATAATAAGAAGAAGAAAATTAAAATGTAGTTTGATTGAAGTGTTGTACAGTCCAGCTGACATTTTCAGAGCGTGGAAATGGGCTTCACAAATCAGAACCAAGCAGATTTTATTTTATTTTATTTTAAATTATGGTTTCACAGTTTCAAGCATTTGGGGATTCTGCAGCAATCACAACGTTCCTTAAATGGACCCATTTGGAGTTATGATATTAAAGAGACTGTCAAAGTGCTGATAATGTCAATGAGTAGAGGAATAACATACTTTTTTTTGTGTATCTAATGGCCCTTTCAACCCAAAGTGGATATACTCCTTTTAGATATTAAAAACCATTAACATGTGGAAGGCAAAATCAATAATTAGAAATTTCAAATTAAAATTAAATGGATAAATAAAAAGAATTAAAGAAAGAATAGTAAATTATCTTCAATTATTTCTTTTTATTTATCCATTTATTAATTAATAGTAAATGAATTTGTTAAATTTGAAGAATAGTAAACTATAATTAATTTGTTTGTTTTAATACATGTTTGGTTTTAATTTTTAATACTCAATAAGGTCTTTGAAAAATGTATAAGGTCTTTTATGTATAAGGTCTTTGAAAAATTGGCTCACAACAATATTATACTTTATTAAACTGGTACTGACAATTGAAGCCATGTGTTTCATTGACTTTGAATCCATTGCCCATTAGGCTTGATGTTTAGTACTCAATTGTATTAAATTTGATATCAAAAACTGTTCTATTCAAAATTTTATTTCTTTGAGACTTCGTGTTTGAGTCAAAACATTCATATTCAACTTGTTGCATTTATATCTGCATTTATACACATTGTTTAATGAAAAACATTTTCAAAAATGTGTCTTCAAAGTTAAACCAGGTTTTGCCTTTGGCATCATTTAATGGTCTCAAGTATAAGAGTATTTTAAAGTTTCTATATTGTTGACAAGCATTCATGTTAATTTTTTAAATTTTATTTTATTTTGACAATATGTGTATATACATTTATATGAAATTTCCCATAAATATATACCATTATTTTTAGAAACAAATATTGTGATTTGAGAAAAACCAAATAGTTTCAATTATAATTTATTCATTTACTATTCCTTGGTACCAGTTATTTACTATTTTACTTATTTTATTTAACCGTATTAGATTACATTGTTGCAATGGTTCAGTATGGCTATCACTTCAAAAGAATAAAAGAACAAAAGCATATGCTCATTGTATGATTTGTTATTTTTTATGATATTTTTTTGTTTTTTAGTTATCCAAATTGTTTACTTTATTTTATTAAGCAAATCTTTACTAATAAATAAAAGCATTATACTAGCATATAGTCTTTTATAATATTGACATAATTAAATATATTGCCCATGAATGAAAAAAACATATATTGTTATAAAGCACTATGATGTGTATTTCAAGGTAAGTATATTTTTACGTCTTATTCAATGAATTACTATTAGTCTTTTAGCTAGTGACTTTTTCCAGCTTTTGGTTGTTCTTTATTTTGATTTTAATGGTTTTTAGCAATTTTTTTGATATTTAAATGTAAACATACAGGTATACATATATATATATATATATATACATTTTATATTCACAAATTTTTGTACAGCTGTATGTAATTATCTACACCTGAATGGATAAAGACATCAAGAGTGTAAGTAAAATTCAAAAATTATAAACTTATACAACATTTGCAAAGTTAAAATAACTTTTAATGTTACACCTAATGATAGAAACTATATTAATAACGTGAAATAAATCTATACATAAATATGTGCTCAAATAGTAAATTGCAATAAAAAAAATACTTTGAAGGATTTGGTATACATGGCAAGTGAGCTTTGTACTTGAAAACAACTATTTGAATGATATATCTCGCCTAAATCTTATTTTCTATTTTTAATTTCTAGTATATTAGATTTTTTTGACACATTTATATAACTTTATACCCTTAACATCTAATAATGATTTATTAATTTATCAGTTTATATATGTTTCCAAATGCTACATTGAGTAGTGTCTTGTTTTGTCCTATTGAAACCAAGTAACATTTGACCTAATTTAATAATAGGGTTTTAGTTTTTAAATATTTATTAATGTCCATTCCAGATACTTTGATTTATTTGATTTCCATCTTCTTTAAATTTTCTGATAACATTACTAAAAACTTGCTACACATGCATTTTTGTTTCTTTCTGAAATAAGTTCTTTCTATAAGAAGTGCTTAAGATCCAAGTATTTACATTCCATGTATTATCCGAATTTATTCTCATATTATTATTATTTTAATAATTTTTTCGAAAGTTTCACAGTACTTGTAACAATGCACAATAAAATACACGAACTTGAATTGAAATTTTGATGCTGCAATAGACTAATCCAATATTAAGTCTATGTGCACAATTTTAATCAGTGAACATTTTATAAATTAAAACCCATTTGGTATGTTATTTCTAATATTAACAATATTCTATTTCCACATATATAGATTACATTACTTTTACAAAACCACTTTGACTTACTTATAAACTTGTAACATTATAATAAAAGTAGTAAAAAAGCAAAAAGTATGTACTTCTATACAAAAAAGGTACATATTATAAATCTATAAATTTTTGGCTCCACACATTACACTTAGAGGTTCAATAGGAAGAAAAATAAAAAATAAAAAAATAAAAAAATTGGAAATGGGGTTCTAAGTAAATAACATGCAAGGAATTTCCACTAGTAATAGTGAAAAGTAAGATAAATATTTTAATGGGCACAAGCCTAAATGTGAGGCTCATAATCCCTCATCTATTACCCAAAGTATTTTTGTAAATAATTAAAAATTAGGAAAAAAAAAAAAAAAAAAAAAAACTAACACAACTCCCATGATGTCGATCACTTTCGGGTTTCACCTTTTTTAGAACTTTTAGAACGTTTTAAGAAAGACAAACGCATGAAAAAGTATGTGGTCCTGAAATCCATCCATCCACATAGTCATCCATCCACGCACTCATCCATTGCACTCATCCATCCAGTTCAACTCAAACCACGGGAACGATTACTTGCCAAATTTAGCGTAACGCACTTGATTCCCCTCAGGTTCCCATCAGAGTTCCCATCATGGTTCCCCTTTGTGTCCTCTTCCCTCCTTGCCCGCTCTACTAGGTCCTGCCGGGGACCTGACCCTTTTCCAACTGCACTAAACCAAGACTCGCGAGGGGAGACTCTCACACTCCACCAAGATTCGCAAGACCAAAACTAATCCAGGTCTTCCTCGGGTGGTCAAGACAGGAGTGACAGAGGGGTCTTGGAGCCCACCGGCGGAATCACCCGCCAAGGACCCACCCGGCCCGACATCTAGAGCAGGGCCCCAGTCAACGTTCAAAAACTATGCGCGGGTCCGAGGTCGCGACGCTCGTTACGGCTTTCGCCTGGTTTTCGTTCGTTCGTCCGTTCGATCGATCGATCGATCGTTCGTTCGTTCTCTTCCTCATCCCATTCTATTCTCTTCTCCGCTTCGTCCTTAGTTACGAAGTGAGTGTATCCTCCTCCTCCTCGGACGTATTGACACACTGCCACACCGCAATTCCGCTTTTTCGAAGCCCTGCTTGCGTTGCCTTCGCCACACTCCATGCGCGATTATTCGTTGCCTTCTTCACTGCATGGAAAGCAAGGCCGTGTTCCTTCCTTCCTTCCTCGATTGATGTAGATAACGTGGTTCCTTCGTAGCTGTTTTTTTTATAAAGTGTTGTGGATTTTGGAGGTTTCGGTTTCTTGAAATCGTTGCACCGCGCCGCTATTTTTTGGTGGTGAATTGTTGCGGGGTTAGTGTCGAATCTGTCATTTGTCTGGCTGGCCCTTTCTAATTCGTTTGGCTTCGTTTTGTTTTGTTATCTTGGTTATTTATGTGGAGGTCGTAGTTCAATTGAATCGTAAAGGAAGTAGTACCGGTTTTTGGCTCGTCTTTTTTTTTCTTTTTCTTTCTGTGCAATCTGGAATTGGATTGTGCAGCACTAGTGGGAATTTTTCTAGGCTTCTAGTGTGTCGAGCGTGAATCTTTGTTCCCGAGCTGCGTTCGGCAACTGAGCCTTTCGGCTAGTCGTGTGGGTGTGGGATCGCATTTGTTAGCTTAACTTGGACCACCATCTTTGGTTCAAAAACGAGGGCCGCTTTTCAGTAATTTAGAATGTCGTGCGGAATTGCGTAATAGGACGCGCGATGGATTAAACACGCTTGTGTCATGCGAATGGTCCATTAGAGCTTGTGAGTCTGGATAATGGTTATCGATGTCAACTTCATTTCAGACCTAGGCTTCTTTTTGACATTGACTTGAACCATTTAAATAGATAGGCTTTGCATTAATGGTCTCTGTGTGGAACATCAAAGAAGATTGACTTTAACGCGTTCCGATTAAATCTACGAAGACAAAGCGAAGATAACTGGCATTTATTTCCAGCTTCAGACAATCGACATCCGAGGTAATAAAAATTACTTCACACGGGCCTGTTACAAAGTTTCCCGGTGACATTCCCCCTCCCGTTGAGAGGAAGACAATTCAAATCATGTACACCTGTAGTTGGACATGTGCTTGTAGCAGCTTAGGTCGTCTAAGTTCGAGCTGCATGCATGAATTTTTGGCTTCCGCAAGCATTATTTCAAAGGATTTGAACTGCGTCAAATGGCGGGCGCGCAACTTTTTCAAACATAATTTAATTTCTTAACACATTCGAATGCAATCTCCCCTCATTCTTCTTTTAAACCTCTGCCACAAGTTTCCTTTTCGGTTTCACAATAGAAGTGCCTAACACAGTGCTGTTGATTGTTTTTTCACGCTGATTTTTGCGTTTTTGGATGCAGATGTTTCGTGACATTTGATTCCAAGCCAACCCATGGGGTATTTACAACGGTTAGGGCTAGGTAATGCCTTCCAACATCTGAATTTTGTTAGTGGTATCCTTCCACATTCAACAACCCCCCCTCCCCTCCCCTCCCGTTTTTTTTCTCTTTTTGTTGCATTTTCTTTCAAGGATTCTGCATTTAGTTTAGAAAATGATGACGATGCCAAACTAGAACAGCATTCTCGAGCCTGCTCTCGGGTGCTTGAGTATGAGAATGATTCGTTGTGCAAATCTGCAGTCTGGCTATATTGGGTTTCCAGATCAAACCGGTCATTTGCCCGTCCAGGGCATCATTGTGCCTTTTGGGGAGAGATGGATTTTTCTCTTCTTCTTATAGAATAGGGTGTATTACGCTCACACAAGAACTTTGCCTAGCTTGGATGACCTATCATCCCCTCAGATAAGTACGCACCTGATTGACCGCTGATCGACTCTTGATTGGTAGGAGATGTGATCAACGAAGTAATGTTTCATGTGCAAAATTTTGCAGTCTCCAGAAGGAACAAGGAGGGTGGAACAATATCTCTGTGCTATAGTGCTGACTCAAAAGAAACTGGAAGGTGAATCTAGTTTCATACTGGGCTACAATTTTACTACGCTTTTCAACTCTTTGGGTATTATTTGTTGTATTCGTGTAAAGCTGTGATCGTCATGAATAAGCTGCATTCGTTCTCCTAGATAGTGAATGCAACACATGCATGTGTATGGATTGGACTATTCCGGTGCTTCCAGATTGTCATTTCTTGTTCGTCTTGCTGTCCTCTCCAGCTGTACAGTGGAAACTGACAGAGACAGAAGCTGCAATTCGAATGCATCCATCAGCTGCACTACGATCCCGCAAACCCGCGTGTTCAATACCATCAATGAAGAAAGATCATTAATGGCTCCCGATACATGCGTCACGCAGGTGCATTCCGTGACGATGTTGTTCAGCTACACGCTGCTTGCTTGTACATATACTAGGTGGTCAGCAAATCCGTTGAGGAATTTATGTAACGTAGACTGTCCTCAACATTTTTGGGAAGGCCCTGCATTTAGTGAGCTCACAAGCTATTTCCTCTTGCCCCTTTATTGCTTTCAAGGATTTTTCGTCACTTGGTTTTTACACCCCATACAGCCACACCAGATGTGCCAAATTTCTTAATTATTTACCTCCTCGTCGCAGCGTTCATGTTCAGTTGTTCTCGGGACGCCCGTCTCAAGTGAATGTAATGCGGCTCAATTCTCACCAAGGCCAAGTATACTGGGGCAGGACGACGACGTAGAATTCTTACGATACGAAAAACATGTTCGAGCAAGAGCTCGGGCGGATACATACGGCGACAGCTTCGACTGGAAGACATTGATATTCTGGAGGCGGCACAAAAGGCCATCAGGCATAAGATCATTGAACGCTAGTGCAGCGTCCACTCCTCTTCGTCACCAACCATTTTCAACACCGTCTCACCTTAAAGCCACTACTCAAAGCCGTCAAAAATCACGTGGTTACAGCTCAAGATGTGGTTCTTTCGCGGCTCCTTTGTATACATCAGAATTTTCCACCTCCAATTCAATCCCCAACTTCTGTCACCATCCTTGGAAAGATGTCGACTGCAACATGTCACCTTATGTGCCCTTGGGCGGTCGAAGACCTCGTCTCGTAACGGCAGGGCCATTGTACATCGTAGACTGATTCGCCTCTCACCGGCTTCCCAGGTATCAAGCGCACGGCCTTGTGAAGGTTGTACGCTAGTCACGAACCAGTACGAGTTACTCCTTCAAGTACCGATTTAAGCACCTCATTGAAAAACCAGCCGTAAGTGTTTTCGTTACCCTGGATCATTTGTGGCGATTCCGCAGAGGCTATCCTGGATATGTTCCGAGGCTTTCAGTAATTCCTGTCCCTGTGAACGGTGACAGAACGAACTTTAGGCTTGTGTTCGAAGCTACTGGTAGATTTAATTATTATCTTTTCTCGTGAGCACTTGGAATGCGGAATTTTTGCTCTACTTGTTCTTTATACCGGATTGCGAATTCCCTAGTCGAGGATATTCACGATGACCAACAATTCATCGTGACCAATCCAAGTCGTCTTACGAATATAGGAAAAGAAAAAAGAAATATGCATAGAAAGTCAGTGTTTAGATGATCTGAATATTGTTGGATTAGCCGATTGGATATGAAGTTGTACAACCCAATTTCGAGAGTGGCTTGTAGAGTTCGCACAGCAGCAGTCCATGTCTAGTATGGAAGTAACAAACTGTCATTAAGTCCTTGGGAAACAGAGATTGCTGTACGTTTTTTCTAGATGATCCGGGCAGTGATTTAGTACATTGTCCTTACATGGTTCGTGCTATGACTATTTGGCAGTGTAAAGCGTAGTCTTTCTCTTCCAGTGGTCGTAGGTGATGCTCTCTGGAAGCAGTACAGCATGGTTCTAAATCCTGTCAGATTGTAAATGGTAATCACAAAATGGATATATGTTCACCTTATCGTGGATTGAATTTTATTTTTATTTTACGAAAATATTATTGCAGAAGACTCTGCTCTTCTGGATGGAGCAACGATTCAGGACTTATGATGTAATTGACAATTGAAATTGGTAAATTTCATTGAAAGAAGTGTGGTGAGTTGAGAACGACACATGAGTAGACTTTCTGTATCCAGTTTCACTGATGGATTAGCACTGGGAGTAGAATGTCTTTGGTAGATTGGTGTAACAGAATTGGGTTATTCCGAACCTTACTATATTTCTGGTGTATGACAATAATTTAAACTCAGTTGTATAAATTTGTATGGTATATTTCATTCCGAATTATGAGTTTTGTGGGAATTGTGAAGTAAAAGGATTACTTTGTACCAATAAAATTGCTGCAAACACAGTTTTTAATTTGTATACTGGATATCTATGTAGTCAATTTAATGTTAAATTAAACACATTGACTCAAAAAGGTTGCAACTTTTAAATCTTGTAATTAGATGGAATCAAGAAGCTTCCTTTGCTTGGCTAAATACTTGTAGAAATTAACTGTAAAATACATAAAAGAAATAAGGTTACATGTATTTATTTTTACATGGAGAAATGAATGTTGTTCCCAAGAATTTGTATAAAATTCTCTTAAAGTGGCAGTTCTTACTAAAAAAAACTTCAAGAGAACAAAACCAAAAACATATTAAATTATCTATTAAAAAGTCAATATAAACTTTTACATTCATTAAAATCGGATATTTGTGTATTAAGTAATTTGATATTTACCTTCCAAAAAGGTCTTTATACTTAGGGGATAATATGAGAAGCAACAACTCCTAAATTGATTGATTGGATAAAACTGAAAAGTCTCTAAATCATAGCCAATTAAAGAATTTAAACATTGCATTCTCTTACCTTATTTCTTAAATGTAAAGACTCCCTAATAATATTCACATTTGATATTCTTTTTAAAATAAAATCAAATTCAAAGTTTTTTTTTTTTTTTTGGGTTTTTTTTGTTAAATTTTTTATTCAAAGAATTTTCAGAGATTGTGGTTAGAATTGTTGTTGTTGTTATTTTTATTATTTTCTTTTTAACTTTGAGATAAATATAAGTATTAAAGGATGTTTATAAGATAAAAACTTATTTCTATTTTAAGTTTAAAACAAGAGTTTTCTTGAATGAGTCAATTTCCATGAGACATTTTCTCTCCCATGTGTATTTTAGGTTCAAATTTGTGTAATATTAACAATGTTTGATATTTCAACCCTTTGATAATCAATCCAAAATTTGATACATCTTTTTAACAAAGATATTTTAAAATAGGTTCTATTTGTATAATTATGTCACTCCTTAGAGGTGCTATTATCTAAAATAAGCTATATATTTTGTTATGTAAATATACATAGAATTTGTAATAAAATACATGTTTATAAAGTTTTAATTTGTATTACAAATTAGAAGGTTGCAAGCCAAAAGCAATTGACAATATTTTAATTGAAGCTCATTAAGACATACAATGTGAAAATATTAGAAGCAATTAAAGAATAATTGTTGTCTATGAAATATCTATTTTGTGTTTCATTAGGTTGTAAGACAACAATAAAAGGTAAATAGAAGTACATGCACAAAAGAACAAATATGGTTTAAATATAGACTCCACTACTCTATTCCAAGTATTGTAAGAAACCTTATGAACAACTCCATGCATCTTCATGAAATATATATATCAAAAGTTAGAAGGAGAAGTAGAAAAATGCTTTTCAAAGATATAATCAATCTAAACATTATACATTTCTTTGTATAAAAGTACAAGAATCACTCTCTATAATAAATACAACTTTATTAGTTTTGAGTAAAATATTTAATATTAGAAATGTAATAATATGGAGGCTGTAATATTATTACATGTTATTACATATCTAACATGTTCTCTTCCTAAGTAATATTTCTTAATGCATTGTGTCTTTGATAGCATTGCAAGCCCTTGAACTATATTTCTTATTACAAGAAGACAATGTCAAGTTGTCACTTGGGCATTCTAATACAAGTTGATTAAATATGTGCATTTGAATTGCTATGTAAGTAATGTAGTTTGCATTAATTAGACTTTGTAGTGAAATCTTTATTAAATAAACTCATAGATAAAGAATTTTTTCTAATTATTAGATGACTAATTGCAAAATTATGTGTCTAATATAGAGTTATGTCAAAAATAAATACCAAATGTCCAAAACTTGCCACTTCTTACATTGCTATCAAAAAAGAATTTATGAAGATTGATTAAGAAATATATATATATATATATATATTGCATTGATTTAAAAATAAATAGAAGCTCTTTGTCTCATATAGCCTTTTAAAGGTAGATACTGGTATAAATTTGAGTTTAATAATTGGTAGAAACAAAAAGAAAAGAAAAAAATCTGACATTTCATATTGCCTGAAACAATTGTAAACAAGTATTTTAGATGTTTTTAGCTATTACAATCACTGTTAAACACCATATTCCATTAAGTCTATATTATTTCATACTCTAGAAATCAAATCGCCATACTTTTTTTGTAACCTAATGTAAAAAAACTCTAATATCATACTACGATATGATTTTTTAGAAAAGAAGTTTGAATCAACTTTTTAAAAATAATGAAATACATACACTGTACAATCCAAACTATAAAGGTCAAAACCATTATCATGTGACATGGCCATACCGACAACATACAAATTGTGATTTTCAGAACCTCTTCATTCCACCTCTCTCTCCCCCTGTTATTTTATTTTAAAAAGCACAGCCACTTTAACAGGGAAGAATACAAAACTATTATTAATAATGTTAATGTCAAATACTTGTTCAACTAAAAATAGTCACAAAACGAGAAAATGGTCATTCTGTCCAATAATGTAACGACATCGTGCACAACTGTCCCCTCAGAACCATTGTAAGTCTATTTCATTTTCATATGATTTGATTCCGAGTGAAAGCCACTTGCATAGAAGTAGCTTCAAGTCCAACTCCATTTCTGCCTAGTGTTTGAATCTTCATCTGCCGACCCAGCATGTCACTCATCATTCAATAGCTCAGAAGTGTTTTTAATTCTCTGTTTATCCTTAATTTTGGGAGGCAATTGCGAGTAGGATTAAGCTGCTAGTGACCTCCCTGTCAAGGGAAAAAGGATGACATGCTTCTACGTCGCATGACATACTTCGATGAGGAATTGAATATAAACTATGTTACAGTACTATCCCCTGAGACGAAATCAAGTTTGTAGTCTCCTGGCATGGTTGAGAATGGCTGCTGCACCAGCATCTTTAACAGGTTTCTCATTGGTAGATTGGGTGGCAGCAGTGTTTTCAGGTACAGGAACAGGCTCAGGGATATCAACCAGGCGCTCCATTGTTGCCAATTGATCGTAGGGTGCTATCTGCAAGACACAAGCATTTGGCACTGAGTGACATGAGAAATTTGCGAGAACCTTGATCAATGGTATTCAGTGACTGCATCACGTTGCTGAAGCTTGAAGTAAGGCTTTGAAATTGACACTTGCCTGACTGAAACCATCCGGCCAGTTAATGGCAGCGGCGTAGTTGCCCATCGGTCTGATGCTCTCTGGAGCAAGATCTTCAGCAACATCAGTATACCGCAGCTTTTGCTCACCGGACCACTCGTCCTGCATTCGAACACAAGGTCAATTTCATACTCAGGTTGGTTCGCATCCTGCAGTTCTTCTCTTATGCCAGCTGAAAGTGAATGTACATCACAGAATTGAATTCTTACTGAACGTCTCATCCTCCGCAAAATGACTTATAGCATCCTAAATCCCAGCAGTTCAGAGTGGATATCATACAATGCTTTTGGCAGATCTGTCATTTCGGCGAACGGTGGCGGGGTGCAGCAAAAATTCCTCCGTTGTTCCAGGAACCTTTACTCGAATTGCATTTATGGCCTTGTCATACATGACAGCAGTTGACACTGCAGGTGAAACATATGTCAGCTTACGAAGGAGCGTTACGTAAAATGGCTAGTAAGTCCCCATATCACTGGACTTTTGTTAAAACTAAAATCTCCTTTTACTTTAATTTGAGATGAACAAGCAATGTAATGTTGAAATTCAGAAAGTCTCATAAGAAATTGATCTCAATCAAAGGGATGTTTAAGCTATGTCCGCAAATTCTGACCTAACCGATGCACCTGAATAAGCATGTATCAGTTACCTGCTTGTCGAAGCTTGGCACATTGTTGCACTACGCAAACCCCAACGTCTGAGAAGATATTGGCAACTTGGCCTTGTGGGTCCACAACTACTTCTGGGTTGCCGGTATCTCCAGCTGCTGAGAGCTGCAAGTGTCAGCAACAAAAAAAAAGTTAAAATCGTAGCCCTCCAGGATTGAATTCCACGTGTTCTAAAATTACAAAGTCTCCATACAGTGCTGTCACGACGAAGCCCAAGAAATCTTAAAGATATCACAAACGTTCATGAATTGGAGAACTTACTTCCGGTCTGATGGGGAGCTCGAACAGATGCGGAATGCCGAACTGTTCAACTACCTGGACAAACATTCTGGATTACTACATGATCAACAAGCCCAAAGATCATCTACGAACACCACAAGAAAAAAAAATTCGTTCATTTTAAAATTTTAGAATTTCTGACTTGATGGAACATAACTTTAAAAATTTCACAACGTAAATAACCGGGTATCGAAGATCACTAGGGTAAAGTTATGAGACGTCAATAAGGGAGTACCTTGGAACCAGAACCCTTTCCAAATGGATAATAGCGCTTATCATCACCTTCAAAGAAACACATATTCTCCACAACGGCAATGCATGGGACCTGCAGGGTTAAGCAAACAATGCACCTGTTAAAGAGACTTAAAACTTAAGGTTTACGGTCCAGTACCCCTATTATCAGATCTAATGCACAGCTCCAGTGGAAATTGAAATGTCAAGTAGATTAAGAAATGAGAGTGAGAATAGACCTTAAGTTTGGAGAACATGCGCACTCCCTTGGCCACATCTATGAATGCCAACTTCTGAGGTGTTGTAACAATGACGGCTGCTGTCAACGGCACCACCTGAACGACGAGAGCATAAGAGAGAGAAATCCATGTGAAATAAATATATGTCAAACAACTTAGTTGAAAGTCTGCTTACAATAGACTAACCAATTCGAACCATAGTTTGCCATTTTACCCTACATTATCATTTCACTAAGATCCTGAGGGACACACCCTAGCAACAAGTTATATTGAAGACAACCTGGCATAAGGTCAGCTGAATATCCCCTGTACCAGGCGGCATGTCAATCACCAAGTAGTCCAACTCGCCCCTGCAACCATGCATTCTTCAACTTCCAGAACTTCGAAAGAGGGCTTAAAGTACAGCAATTGAACTACTCTACTAAGAAAATAAACAGTTTACAATAAAAGAAAATCAAAGACGTGAACATGGAATAGGCTGGTAGCTATACCAGTCTGTAGTAGTAAGAAATTGATTGATAACTCCAGAGACCATGGGTCCCCTCATGATAGCGCTGCCCTGGCCGGCATAGCCAAATGACACAAGTTTCACTCCGAGGTACTCGGTTGGAATAATCGCTCTTGTCTCCGGATTCTGCAACGACAAGACATAGATGATTCGAGATGTCCGGAGCTCGCGTAATCACACATATAGTAGCGATCCAGTTCAGTCAAAGTAATAGAGACCAGGATCGACGCTCATCCATGACTAATCCCAAGGGCCAGGGGATCTACTTACCATTTGCAATACTTTCACTTCTGGTGACACCATAGTTGGCAGGCTGGGACCATATATGTCGGCATCGAAGATGCCAACCCTTGCACCCATTTGTGCCAGTGAATACGCAAGGTTTACTGCCACTGTGGACTTCCCAACTCCACCCTGCACAAAAACAATATGAAAAGCAAACTCTGGACTCTAAAGTATAGAGCTTGTAGGGTTGATCACGTTGCAGGGTTTCGCGAGCAAGGACATATACTGTGCAAGAGAAAGGAGTTGGACAAAAATAACCATACAGGACTAGCTGCAAGTTGATTAGATGCTTTAAAGGACAGAAACAATGGAGATTTACTACTACCATGCCGAAACTATGTAAGGGCAGTGTTCAGGGCACCTTGCAACTTGAAACCGCCACAATGTTTGAGACTTTCTTCAGACCAGCAGGGACATCATCTGCGATAAGAGGCTTGGCAGGTTGTGCAGTCATTTTTACATTAACCCCCTTGACCCACGGTATTGCTGAGACTTTCTCCTTGGCTTGTTGCTCAAACTGTTCCAGACAAGATCGATTAGGCGAGCATGAATATGAATATCCACATCGACATATGAAATTCATTCGGGGTAGATTATGACACGAGGCATTACTGCATTGTCGCCTGGGATACAAATCTTCAAGCAGAAAAGCCTACCATGTCCTTCACTGGGCAAGCGGGCGTCGTGAGCTCCAGCTGAAACGAGACCTGAAACCGAACAAACGATTGTTCATTCCAGTTCCAACACAGCCGCACTTGTGCGTATGAAATTTGATGATCAGCGAATAGGATGAAATCTAGAATATGTGATTACCTCGCCGGTGGATTCATCAACAGTCAGTTCCTTGACAAACCCACATGTAACAATGTCCGTCCCAAAATCGGGGTCGATAATTTGTGACAAAGCGCCGAGAACATCCTTCTTCGCGGTTTCTAGGGACAACCCTGTTGAGGCTGGAGAGTCTATCAACCCCCCAAACTAGTCAATAGACGAAACCTGGTGTGTATGTGTCAGTGTATTTAAAAACAAATATACAGTGCAAAGGGAAAAATTATCAGCAGCTTACCTTGAACATTTGTAACAGTAGGTTCACTCCTGCTCATTGCCAAAACAAGTGATTCTTTCCTGTGAGAAGAATTCTTCAGAACCGGGATTTTGAGTGACCTTGATCTGCAATAACACGAGTCAAATAAATAAATCAATCAATAATGAACAAACAGTGAGAGAGAGAGAGAGAGAGAGAGAGCGAGAGAAAGAGAGAGCAAAAATTGGGTATTCAATCATCTACAATCGATTCGACCACGTTTAAGAGTGAATTTAATACCCTATCTAAAACACCATGATAACCTCGACAAATGCCCATATCCCACTAAATGCACAACAATAGGGTTTAAGAAAATCTACCACCCCACACTACCTCGAGTCGCATCTTCTTTCTACTCTTCTAACTAAACAAATTACAAACTAGTTGTAACTCAGCGTGTAAGATCACAAGCACTTCACCAGCATCAGAAATGGGTACTCAATTCGATTCGCCCAACCCTCAAGCGCTTCTCAGCTGGAAAAAAACACTTCAATCCGTGAACACGAGAGCTAGAATTTCATTCACTACAGCGTCGCCGGAGATTCCCTTGTAGACGGTGCTCATTCGTTTTGCTGTCTCATTCCATCCACGATATCACGCAGTTCCGATAGCGTAGAATTCAGAAGTAGAAGCAACAAACCAACAAGCGACCAAGGTACACATACCTGTATGCTAAGCTACCGCATTTGAGGCGGCTTCCTCCGAGGGCAGCAACAGCCTGCACCCTAACCCCAAAGCCTCCAACTGCGACCTCCATGGACTTGTGCACGGCTCTGGAGAGTTCAGATGGACTCTGCAACCGCGCAGTTGCTGTTGCTGTTGCCATCTCTCACAACACACGCTCAGCTCAAACTGCTCAAGAGCTCCGACCACACCGCAAAACCGGAAATAAGCCCCAGAAATCTCTGATTTAACCGAGACCCCGTTCGTGTTTGAGTCCGGAGCTCAGCAACGGAGCAAAGACCACGAATTTAAAGCAGTATTTTGAATCGAGCAGGTGTTGGGGAAACTGGTGATTCTTCTTCGGCACACGCCGTCGCGCCTTCCTGAGGGAGGAAGCTGAGGCTTTGGCCTCACGCAGGGAATCAAGCGAGAGAGATGAGTGGATAACGAATGGATAATCCATCCCCCGTTCCCCTCCTTCGTTCTCTACGCTCTCTGAGGTTGTGTACTTTGGGAACGGAGTGCTCTGATAGAGTACTGGTTCGGTTCTGGTAGCGTCTGGCTTGGGGTCGTTGATTCTTGCGCGTGGACCACAAATGGGATGTAAGCATCTATGCTATTTTTACTTTTGATTTATTTCTTCAAATATTTAATCTTATTGATATTATATAAAAAATAAATAATATTATTTTTAATTTATATTTTTATAAATTTATAAATATATATATATATATATATATATATATATAGAGAGAGAGAGAGAGAGCTGTTATAATAAATATTCTACTCGTATGTTTAACTATTCAACTATGAATCATGAAAATATTTAAAATGTTTAAGGTTCAAAAGCATTGGAATTAAATTCATTTTCCCAACAACATATTTGAATTTTATTATTGAAATTTGAAAATGATAGATGGATTCAAAGCTCTATTGTATATTTAAGGTAACTTCCAACAATTATATGGTCCTTTATTTAATTCCAAGTTGGTGCTAATATGATTCGTTTTTTCTTATAATAAACAAAACTTTCTTAGATTAATTTAGAAGACTTTATTCCCTGGGTTGTTTCTTAACACCCTTTGGCTATAAGTTTAGGCTACCAATTCTCATCACCACTTGGTTATGAACCAAGCAGGCATGCTAAAAGTTTTTAGACATGCCTAAACTTTTCATTGGATAAATATTAATTTTAATTATCTATCCTCTATGTTGCCTATGTGGAGGTTGATTCTTGGTGGTCAACATTTCACATCTTTTTTAAAAACTTAATAGTAATTATTCAAATCAAATTGTTTTTCAAGGATATAATTCAAAGCAAGAAAAATAAAAAAATAAAAAAATAAAGGTAAGACATCTATATATTTATATATATATATATATATATATATATATCTATATATATATATTTATCTATATATATATATTTATCTATATATATATATATATATATATATATATATATTCACACACACACACACACACACACACATATATATATATATATATATATATATATAGGGATACAAGTTCTTGATTTTTTTATAAAATCAAAAGGTGTGATTTAAATATGAAAATTTGTAATTACAAGCAAATAATAACTTTGGTCTATATATAAAGATATAAAAAACATAATAAGGCACTTACATTGGCAACAAGACCTTATCTTAATTATCTCTAGTAAGATATTATGTTTTTAAAAATAGATTATAAAATTAATTATATATTTAAAAATATGTAAATATGTCTATTTATAAAAAATTAATTTTTTGTGTAAAAATAAAAATCATATTTACATAGAATTATTACAACAATTTATCATGTTTATATATTCATACATTAAATATTTAAAATTCAAAGTAAAATATTAAATGTTAGTTAAATTTTAGATTATAAAAGATAAAAAAAAAATCATTTAAAACTAATTGCTATTGTGAAGTTGTCTTCTTTAACATATATAAGTATAGTAGATATTTTAAATAAATAATATAAAACTATATATATATATATATATATATATATATAAATGTATCCAAAATTTTAAGTATTTCTGATAATTTACTAATAAAATAAATTCATAATACAAAGCTTAGACTTCATTTGCATGTTTTTGTTTATAAAAAATTACAATAAATATTTACATCTCCAAATTCAAAACATATACTTTTAATTTTTTGTACCTTGAAATAAATTATATTCCAGAAAAAATTATTATGAGTATATAACTGAAAAATAAATCTACTAATTCATGAAAATAAATTTCAATAAAAATCGTTAGCAAGGTATTTTAAATATACATTAAATATCTCAAACATGTTCATCATAGGCTATGGACTATATAAAAAATTGAAATTAACACGTGAATTATATATAAATTAATCAGTTAAGAATGAATTAAAAAAATTGTATGTGCAAAATTATGAAACTTGAATGTAAATAAATCTTACAAATAAAGGAAAAAATAAAATAAAAACAAGATAATTAAATTTTTTCTTAGTTTTGAATGATTGTTTCTGAAATATGTCTTCACAAACTTCAGGAGAATTTCATACAAACTCGTGGCCAACAGAAGGACTTGTTTCTGTTCCTAGTTTATTTCCCCATAGTTTGTTTTTGTACTACATTTATTCATATATATATATATATATATATATATAATTAGAATTGTGAATTAGTAAAAACAAATTGTATAAAATAGGCTGAAAAATATCATTTTTTATTTATGCAAAACACACAAACATAAATGAAAGTAAAGTATACACTCCAAGCCTCTAAATTCTTCAAAATAAAAACAAAATCATGGACCAAAAGCAGAACATGCATATAAATATTAAAAATAAAAATAGGATAAAATTTTATATTCAAATGGTTTTTAATGACCTAGCTACTGTAACTTGCAATGTAATAATTACATTAATTAATGAGACCTAAAATTTTAACAAATTTAAAAAATACAAGAATATTGTACATATCATTTTCAGATGATGTTTCCATGTTGATATTGACTTATTTTTACTCTCAGTTGTTGCTACAATAAAATCAATATTATTTTCTTTTTTCCTCATTTATTTCTTGAACAAATACAACATATTTTTAAAAAGTAAAATTTCCTAATTAGTTCATGAAAATTAAAAGAATACACGTGAATGTATGTATATATTAATATATTTATGTAAAACTATTTCTCAGAGAAAAAAATAAATACATCTTTAATTCCATCATTAATCATTACTACTGATCACAAAGATCATATTTAATTACAAATATCCTACCTTGAATCGTTTGTTTGACTCAGTATGTCTTGTAAGACTTGCTTGGTGGATGATATCACAATTTCCTAATTACATTTTTTTAATATAAAATGAATAATATTTTATTTGATTCTTATAAATTCATTTTTTTTAAATTAAAAAGACAACTACCTTTGTCACAAATCAGAAGTATTGAAAGTTGGGCATGGTGTAATGTACTTTAGTTTTATCAGTATCAAATTGAACAATTGATTTTATAAAAAAAGTTTTTATATATATATATTTACAAGTATACCATATGAAATATTATATTTTATTGATGGAGTTTATACAAACTGTAAAAAGAAATCATAACTTCATCACATATAGTAATAAAAAAATATGATCTTTCATATTGTATACTTGTAAATATAATGTACATTTAAAACATTGGATATGTTTTCATATCAAACAATTGACAAGCAGTACTTAAGAACAGCAATGGTGTATTATATATATATATATATATATATATATATATGGTTAAAAACAACATACGGCTTGTAGCACTTTGAATATGTTATAATCTTTTTACATTAATTTAAACACACCTGAGTGTCACGAAGGTGTTGTATTCTCAAGGTTTTTACATAAACACTTCATTATCAAATTCAAAAAAATGAAAAATAGCATTATTATAATACAAACATTCAATCAAAAAAGGAAAAACCGTAATTATATAAAATAACACACTTGATAGCACACCAATTATATATAAGAGCATGTTAACTGGACCTTACTTTTTACTAAATTTATCTACCCGTGATGAAGAGTGTGGTAATCACAATGAATATGGTTGGTTTTTATTGGTTGCAGATCCAATGGTAGAGAAATGAATCTAGAGGTAATTTTTACTTTTCATGATGGTTAGGATAGGTGGGTCGATTTAGTAAAAACTTGGGACTACTTAACATTCTTGTGTACATATATATATATATATATCTGTGTCTCTGTATGGAGAAAGAGAAATCCAATCAATACTTTTTAAATTGAAAAAAATAAAAAATGAACAACAAGAATTGCATGATATACCCAAACTAAACATCCAGGCTTGAGATGACCTGGATGAATGGTGGACGTAATTCATCACCCAACATTCGTTACTAAAATCCTGCTGCGGATGGGTGTGAAGGCGTCACAAGCGCGGGACGGCGGCAGCGGCAACGGTAAGGAGCGGCAGAGGGCGGCAGAAGGCGGCAAAGAAGCGGCGGAGGGCGGCAGGGAGGAACAAGGTACAGGCACAGCAGCCTAACATATTTCCACGAGGCTGGCCGCGCCAGGAAGCACAGGCTCGTCGCACATGATCGGAGAATCAGCGTCACGGACTCATCACCCTCTGCATGCGGAGGAGGAGGAGCGCACACACTCACACACTAACACTCACACACAATCTGACGAAGGAAGAAAGGCTGCGGCGGACAGAATCCCTGCGCCAATCCATGGAACAGATCGATAGATAGATAACTTAGATGCATGCATCCCCTTTCCTCCCTCCCCTTGCGGCGATCTCACCTGTTTGGGTAGCGGCATGACAAGGCCTGGCTGGCTGGCTGGCTGGCTGGGCTGGGCTGGGCCCCAGATAAGGCTCCTCTTGGTCTGCGCACGCTCCCTACCCATCTTTAAATTTCAGGCACAAGTTTTTTCCTGGATGGATGTATGCCGATGCAGAAATTGTGGACGGAGAGAGGTGGGCTTTTGGTAAGGCTTTTAAGTGTGAGCAGTGGCCAATCGGTAGGGGCATTCTCGGCGAACTGATTTGTTGGGCACTCGCGTATTCCTGCAGCTGGGTGTTTTCTGCGAGAATTTGCGAGAACCCGTGAGAATTTGTGCGCAGTTAGGGAGGCGTGGGTGATCAGCGATGGCGAGGAAGCTCGCAGTGCAGGTATACAATGCGGGAGGTCACTTGCGCGTGGTCAGCACCAAGCCTATGCCGGGTAACCAATGGATTCAAGCGCTCACTAGCGTCGGCTGCCGTGTTGAGGCGAGTCACTCATTGCCTCCTACTCTTTTACGATTCGGTCGTTGGTTGCATCTTTGAGTGGGATTTTTTTTCCGGAATTTGGAGGACTCGTGGAGAGAATGGGTTGTGCGGGTATGGAGTAGGGGAGTTTGTCGATTGGTCCGTAGTTGTCTGTAGACTCTGTAGTTGTTCAATTGGATGGAGCGCTGTCTTGTAGAGTAAATTGGTTTGCTTCCTCCCTTGCTACAGTGAATTGATTGTTTGGCTGAGTTCCGGACATTACAATGGTTGAGACGATGCAGTATTCAAAAATTTAGTCAGCCTCTTAACTATAATGAGAGGTCGGCGCTGGTCCCGAGGCCTAATAGCTGTGGCAGCTTAATCGCTCTAACCCCAATTACACCGGGGTTAAAGAAATAGCCATGGCTTATGTCACGGTATCTTACATCCAAATTGTTTATACATGGAATTCAACCCTTCGCAGGTTTTTTTTTGTTTTTGTTTTATTTTTATTTTTTAGTGTTCTGTGGAATCAACGCTTGTAAGGTACCGAGTCTCAAATAGGCGGGCAGTTAAAGCTCTGAACTATTGAATGGAAAGCGCCAGTGTCTTCCCAGGTCATTGGTCAACCATCTTCTCCTGTTGTGGATGGCGATCCAGGGTGAGTAATTCGTGTAGGCTGTTGAATTCTAAGGTTTGAATCTGCTTCTAACTCCGCGTAATTCTGTGAAATACAGGTGTGCGTAGAGAACAAGACCATACTCAGTGTGGATGATATCCTCTCTCTCATTGGAACCAAATGCGACGGCGTTATTGGGCAGGTAGGCTAAGATCTGCACTGTCACCAAAGTGCTTTCGAATCTACTGTGTTGTCGACTGAAGTCTAGTCCAGGTACCTGCTCCGGGTAGTAGTTTAATCGATGCCATTTGTATGCAGTTGACAGAGGACTGGGGTGACGTTCTCTTCGCGGCCCTGAAGAAGGCTGGTGGACATGCCTATAGCAATATGGCAGTCGGTTACAACAACGTGGACGTAGAGGCTGCTACTCGACATGGCATTGCCGTTGGAAATACCCCGGTATGTATCGCAGATATGAGACCACCTGTTTCTTTAAAAAGATCTGCAGAATATGAGTAGGATAGTCAACATGTTTTGGAAAGAAACGAGGAAGCTGAAGAGCTCTGGAGAGGACATGAACATATTGGAAGTCATTTGCAGGGTGTGCTCACGGAGACGACGGCGGAGCTGGCAGCAGCTTTGACTCTCTCGGCAGCCCGGCGCGTTGTCGAAGCTGATGATTTCATGCGTGCTGGCAAATACGAAGGCTGGCTTCCTACTCTGTAAGTGCTCTGTATTTTCACGCTCTTATATTCAGAAAAGAGATCGGCTTTGTTTTTTTGAATTCATCTTTATATTTATTTACTTCGTCGATGTGAAATTGAGTTAATGATGGCTGAATGCTGCAGGTTTGTTGGAAACTTACTCAAAGGTCAAACGGTGGGCATTATTGGAGCTGGGAGAATTGGAACTGCATATGCACGCATGATGGTATGCTTCACCTTAGCAACCACGGGTTTTCTTGTACAATGCTATCATAACTGCAACTCAGTTCTTCTCTTTGAACCTGCTTTACATCGATTGTCTCTTACTTTTCTCCCGTAGGTTGAGGGTTTCAAGATGAATGTCATCTACTACGACCTGTATCAGTCGACAAGATTAGAGAAGTTTGTCACGGGTAAGTACCCCAAACTTTTTGAGATCGTGATTCCGTATCTTTCCTGTGTTTTTTCTGTGCTCAAATCCAATCAGCCTGTCTGTTTATGTCAGAAGATGTGGAATTGCACATGTAAAAGGCATTTGATCTTCCCATTTTCAGAACCGCTTACAAAGGCATAATCTCAATTCAAATCACGTGGTGTTTTGCAGCATACGGCGAATTCCTTAAAACTCAGGGAGAGGCACCTGTACATTGGCGCAGAGCATCAAGCCCGGAGGATGTACTGAGGGAGGCTGACGTTGTATGACCCTACTCGAGCTACTTCTTTTATTTATTAGGATTAAGATTATGAAACTTTGCCAGTTCTTTTTGGTGTGCCTTAATGCACTTTGGATATAGTCTACCATCTTTGAGAATCTTACGTGGCTTTTCGTTTCTTGCTCATTTTTGGTCTTGGAATGTAGATAAGTCTGCATCCTGTTCTGGACAAGACGACTTATCACCTCATCAACAAAGACAGACTGGCTTTAATGAAAAAGGTTTCGTCATGCATCCTTTATTCGCATTTGATTTTACCCGAGTTTAATAATGATTTTGTTGCAACCGTGGCGTTGATGAGGTTACGCTTGAAAATGTGAGTATATGTTCTCGCATTTTTCTGCAGCCTGAATAATAGTAAGCCTTGAAGTTCATGTGATGAGTCGTGTAGAAGACTAGTAGCGAAATTTTGAGAATTTAGCGCGATCATTGGGTTTCATGTTCTCACATGCTCGTTTTCTAAAATGCAAATTCTAATGGAGGACTTGTATGGTTGAAACAGGAGGCCGTCTTGGTAAATGCTAGCCGAGGTCCCGTGATTGACGAAGTAGCTTTGGTGGAGCATCTCAAAGCTAACCCCATGTTCCGTGTTGGACTGGATGTTTTCGAGGTACTAGCCTCCACTTCCACAAGAATATGATTCGAAGAAATCGAAGTATTCAGTATATGCTTTGTGAAAGATTAACGACAGCCTCTGCTAGATATGTTCGGAAGAGTCGAACTATTTCGTTGACAGCAAGTTACGCTTGTGCTGAGCCTGACAGAGTTGTTTAACGACGAATCGGGAAACTTAAGTGTGGTAATGATCTGCAGGACGAACCTTACATGAAGCCTGGCCTTGGGGACCTTCCAAATGCTGTGGTCGTTCCTCACATTGCCTCTGCCTCTAAGGTACATTCTCTGATTTATCGGTTTCACCTTTTCTAGTTTTTTTTTTTTTTTTTTTTTTTTTTTTTTTTTTTCTGCTGTTGATGCATTTGTCTGATGAGACTCTACATCTTCAGTAATTTGGGGTACCGCTAATTCCTCGTTTTGAACCGTGAACAGTGGACGAGAGAAGGCATGGCAACACTTGCTGCCCAGAATGTTGCGGTAAGTTCACCTTTGCTATCTCCGTTCTAGAAGCCGTGACCACTTTCATACATCAATACGATAACTTGAAAATGTATTAGCAATGGTGTTGTAGTGATTGATGATGGATGGGTTCCTGTTCTATGCAGGCGAAGTTGAAGGGATATCCAGTGTGGCCCAACTCCAACAACATTGAGCCCTTCCTCGACGAGAGCAAACCAGCGCCAGCTGCTGCCCCAAGTATTGTTAACGCTAAAGCTCTTGGTATGTAACCATGACGTTTGTTTATTAATGAGTCACGTAATGATTATACTTCCTTCGGTGTTGATGACGGTCTTTATCAGATCTCTGCCACTGCTTTACAGTTAATATAAACAAGTTGATACTTTCCATGTTTCTGTTAGATCAATCAAATATTTACACACACAAGCTTCGATAGACCACTTCAAAAGTAACTGAATTGACTAATCATGTTATTACTGTCATTTGTGTTGGAATAATTTAGGTCTTCCAACTGGGGACGGAAGCAAATCAAGACTGTAAACATGGGTGCGGTTTCCAGAAGAAGACTCCGAAATCTCCAGAAGATCTCATGATATGCTTCAGTGTGTGCAAGCACAATCGTAATGTGAACTTGCCTGTATGTAGGCTGAGTTTGCTGACTTCAAGGTTAACATCGAGCTGCAGGATTTTTCGGTAGTATTTCATTCTTGCTGGTTTGATCATTTACTGACCACAAGCCTACTGTTAGTGTACATTACAGAAGGCGTAAGAGATATGACCTTCCCTACTCTTTTAGATTTCATTTTGATATGTTTTCCCAGAAGCTCGTAGCAGCTCAGTACCTCGTGAGATATCTGATACAGTGAGATTGTATTTATTTTGTTTAATAACATCCAAGTTAAGCTGTTTTACCAATGTCTTTGATGGTTTTGTGGCTAGTGAATCGAAATTTAAAGACTGTTCAAATTGCCTCATTTCATCAGTCTTCTAGATTGTGTGCAAGAATGTCTATAATGTAATCAGCTATTACATAATAGATATAACTTTTTATCATGGTATAGCGAATACTCTAAAAGACAGTTGTTCCAGCATGTACCAATCTGACGAAAAACATGCGTACTGCATACTGCTAGTTACAGATTTGATGTGAAGACGAGTCTGACGATGGGAATTTAAAAAATAAAAATAAAAAATGCTTTACACTCAACTGATGTGGTCATTTCCAAACCATCACAGATGGATGACTCCAATTTAAAATTGCATATGGAAAACTTTCCTTCATATTCTTTTCCAGGAGGGCTGAAGATGATTGTGTAAATAAATACATCAACAATCTAGATATTCAATTGACCAACTATCTTTGTTATTGATGTAAATGGCAATCAACTCCATTATGACTACTTATTTAATGAGATGGTTTTATAAGATTAGAGTCTTGAATCTATCATGTACATGACAAAAAGCTAAAAAACTTACACAAATTTATTTGAGATTAATAATTTATTTTATTTATAAAATGCAGAGATACAAATAATTGTATGTAGTTATTTGCACAAGATATTCTTTAAATTTAGATAATATACTACTATAACTTCAAGTATTTATACTTCTAGTATTAATATAGGAAAATAGTTCAACATTTTAACATCATCTTTTGTCTTCCAATGGTCCAAGATTTGGAACAAAACTTTTTCAAAAAATGAATTTGATTTACTTTGGTTTCATTAATTTTTAAAATTATTTTAATTTTAAATATGTGTATATATATATATATATATATATATATAAAATTAAAAAACCATAACAAAAATTATGAATGTATACATTAAAAAAATTAATGAAATTTCTTGTATATGTTAAAAAAATTAGAATAAGGATATGCTCTACCATGTTTAGAATATGTAATATGTATATTTTGATTCATTTCATGAGTTCTCATTTTACATCATCTCCAAAACCAAAACTTCCTAAAATCAACTTTGCTTTACTAAGCAGGGGAGCTTTGGAAGACTTTTGTAGCGTTGGAATATCTTAAACGGCGTCACGCCCCTGAACCACCAACTGCGCGACAAGGCCCTTTCACCGCGGAATGCCACTTGGAGGGTGCGCATTTACAAATCTGATCTGAGCAGGTTAGTGGATGCATGTGCCGCAGAATTTAGGACTGTGAGCTGTTCACTGACTTGGCAATTGATAAGAATAGAAAAAATAACTCCACGGCTCACGAGAAAGCCAGGCGTGGTTTAAGAACAAGGCTGCACACACTTTCAAGGTTTGCAACAAACGGTTTTGAGTTTGTGCTATGAACAGGTAGGCGATACAGTACTAAGTGCTAAAATAGCCAAAAACGTCTTGCTTTGAACGTGTTGCTGATCGAATAACACCATCTTCTGTGGTTTTTCACTAACAAGAACAATAGGCGCATAAGGTTTGGATGAAAACTAAAGAATTGAATTGTCGGATATCAGCAAGTAGCAAAAATTTATGATTTTGTTGGAAATTTAATGGAGTTACAAATACTACAAGATAAGACTTTTGTCTGGTACACCTTTTAGTCGATTTCAGGTCTTCACAAATGCAAAAATTTGTTTGCAGGATTTCAAAGCTAGGGAACAAATCAATCAAGCAGTTGCTCTGAGAAAATCTATATTACTATCTCTCTGCAGTGAAGAAACGTCGGGAAATCTTGTGTGAAGATCAGGTAAGTGCAATGTAAGTATTCGAATGGACTGATGAGTTAAGATCCTTTGAAACCACCCAAGAGCTGGAGAATCAAGGATTTAAAAAGCGTTATATCAAAGTGCCAGGTCACCGTAAGCTGGCTACAAGAGCTGCATTTGTTTTCATTGGTTTTTTTATTTTTGTTTTCTTTGTTTTCTTTGTCAATTACAAGAGGTGGGTTTGAGTCTGCGGCCAGCAGCTGCGGAGTCACGACGCTGGTATCAGATCATAATAGGGAATATCGAAGGAACTGGAAGTGTGGAGCTCGTTGGCGAGGAGGGAGTGGTCACGACACGCTTGTGGTCATGACCCTTAGTTCACAGTAGCTCTTGTAGCCAACTTACGGTGATTCAAATGAGAGCTGCTGAAGCGATTACCTCTCGAGGCCGGGCCGAGTTGCAGATAGCATGCGGATTTGCGATTGTTCATCGCAGTTGGAGTTGCCGATTGACATGGCGAGAATCAGGAGATCCGTGGTGCTCATACTAGTTGTAGCAGTGGTGATCATGCTGGTTGCCCAGGCTGCTGCCGGTGGCTCCAGCGGTGGTGATAGTGGGAAGAAGGGGAATGAGGGTGGCTCCATCGATGGCTCAAGCAGTGGTTCCAGCGGTGGTTTCAATCATTTGCTCTCGGGTAGTTTCAGTGGCAACATTCGTCGCAGCTCGAGGTCTTAATGTGACTGGTTTTCGAACTGCGATTCATTTTCAAACTGTGATTCATTATTTTTGAATCGTGATTCATTTTTGAACTGTGATTCATTTTCGTACTGTGATTTATTATTTTCGAACTGTGATTCACTCTATTGAGGTAAACTTGTACTTCTAGTATTCCATATATGTCTGCTACTGTTGATTGCTGAGGCAAATTTTTCATGCACAGGGTTATCTATCATAGCTATCACTACATAACGTTGCAAACATATTAGTAGTATTTTACACCAAGATTAAAACAAAAGAGTTTGTTGACGAGATCAAGGTACTTAGTCTCTGAATATTAAAAAAAAGGTTCTGAGGTTAAGAAATTAAACATCACTAATAAGTCAGTCAGATGGTTACAGTCTTAATTTGGTGTACAGTAGTCGTAGTGAGGCCTAGCACAATCTACCATTAACTGTTAGATTCATGAGGTTGAGAAATTAAACCTTAGTTGATTGTCTTGATGTTGCATCAGTTCATTTTCATTCATTTTTTAGTTTCTTCACATTTGATACAAGATGTGGAATAAGTGTAGGTTTTAACATAGAGCCTATTGTGGATTGCTAGCCACTAAGAATTAGTAATTGGACTAATAAAGCAACTATGGTTATGGTGATGAATTAACAAAGAATAGCTTTGATGATGGTCAACACTAGCCACATGTTCAAGTAAATTACATAGAATTTGAGAAGGTGCAAGGTGTGAATTGGCCATAAAATGCTAGAAGGTAAATATTTAATAATATGGATTGTACTTTGGAGTTGGTGCTCCCTTTCCATCTATATGTGCATGCTTTAAGACAACAAAACTTGCAACCAACCAATTGAATAAGCAGCCATTTTAGGAATTTCATGACTAGTCATGGAGGAGGAGTATAGAATTTTTGCAACCTCTTGTCTTCCTATCATCAACTACCAATTCTTTCAAGATTCTCTATTGTTGAAGATTACCTCCTCTTTTCACAATTTGACTAAGTGAGGATGGCGTTGTCATATTACGTGCTATCTTGCTTGAAAATGTACCGGACGTCTGGTTGTAGAAGATAAAACAATGTTTTGCAAGTATCCAAGTAGTCTAGTAGGTTTCAACCATCTAAATACAAACTATTTTGGATTTCAATGTAAAAGCTTAATCCCAATACAAAGTGCTTAGAAACACTATTTTTTATAACTTCAAGATATTATAAGTACAAATTCTTTTGTTGTTTGTTAGTTTTATTTTTTATTTTTTATTTTTTATTAGTAGTATTATTATTATTATTATTATTATTTATTATTTTTTAATTTTTAAACCCTAACACTAGACAATGAGCTTCGACAAGCTGTAATTCTCAACTTGATCATTCGATTGTTATAAAACTTCTACCACTAGTGTCTTTGCAAGTCTTCTAAATGCTCAAGAAGTTTCAATCCAATCTAACTTAGAGATTGTAAGAAAATATCGTAAATCCACATTGATGTCCCTTGATCGCCACTTAGAAAGTTGATGATAAACTTTGAATTACAATTTCTCCTTCTTTAATTGTTAATTCTCATTCAAACTTTGTGTGCAGCTCCGCCTTTAATTTTCCAACTTATTACACCAAAATTCACCTTATTCTAGCAAGTAGATCTCCAGATATTGTAGAAACCCTAAACAACCTCAATCTGTAAACTTCTGATATCTCTTTATACTAACGATCAAATATCCTCTATCCGTACCGTTAGATTAATATAAGTTTTTGCATGCACTTGGCATACTCAACCATCTAGATACCTCTAAAATTTCAACCGCAGATGTTTATCTAATTTCACAAAACATTCAAGAGTACTAGTCCTAACTTTATTGTAAAAAATCCAAATCACCAATACAAACACTGATTTTGAACAACGATTGCAAAGTCCTCCCAAACCCTATGAAATCAAGTCTTATATCTTTTGAAGGAGCTTGAAGCTAGCTCTCTGATCCAAAAAATCCCCTATTCTTCCGCCATGGATTCGGAATTGGAACAGCAGACCATGTTTCCATGGAATTCTCACCTCTAAGAAGATCTTTCCACGGAAAGGACGTTTCTCCTGAAACGGCATAGAGAACGGAACAACTTGAAATAGAACTGAAGCCTCTATAATCAGGACCTCATTGGATTGCCCAACCGAGTCAGGTCTCATACTAGATAAGAGACCCATAATAGGACCTAGATTGGATGTCCCCGTAATTGGGACAAATTAGCCCTTCGCATCAGGCTCACCCAAATGTTGAATTGGTCCTTTTCCCTTTTGTCAACTCATGGTAAGAATGGCTTGGACACATTCCACCCGATTTATTGGAGAATCTTGAGGACCTCAATTTATCTCCTCAATTTTTTTCTTGGCTTTGAATCTGCTGATCTCGATTATTGAAATTGATTGAAGCATTACATTGTTGATAAGTATGCCCCAACTGCTTGTAATTCCCACACATTAGCGCATAATTGTCACTAACTCTGGGATTGGAATATTTACTAGTATAATGACCAATCTGTCTACAACGAAAACAATGAAGTGGTCTTCTTGTACCTCCATTAGGCATATTGGGTGTCTCCATTGGTATATACCTACTAGGCTTATTCCTTGTAGGGTTAGAAAATGATTCTGATTGTCCTATTGCTACGGAGGGTACTTGGTTCGATGATGTTGGTAGAGCATATTATTGATGTTACGTATGGTCGTATAGCTTGCAATGGGATGACATTAACTAGCCCCTAAAATATTGGCATTGGAATTGGCCACTGTTTCTAACATCCAAGATGACTAAATATTAGTAAAATCTTTTTCATTTATATTTTCACCATATAGTCATGTTACAACACAACATCCATCCCCTCTGAACCTGTGCATCCTCTGGTATGTACCAAATAACCTAGTTGTCGTTTGATTCATAATATGTTCTCCAAGTCTTCGTCCAAATCATCTTCATCACTTTTGTTATCTTAGTCAAATTCATCTTTCTGTTGAGGAATATCTATGTCTTCACCAAGGTCTTTTATATTTATTTCTGTGTATCTTTGTTTAAATATTTTTACTCGCTTCTTTGTAATTGGTATTTTTAATCTTGTTCCATCTAACTCACACAATGAGTAAGTTGCATTATCATGAACAATTGTTACCACATATGGTCTAAACCATCATTTAGAAAACTTCTTTAAAGTACTATGTTGATTGTCCAAGCTATTATCATAGATCAAAATCCAACCACCTTCTTCAATTGTTTTAGGCCTCAATCGATGCTGCTTATCAAATCCTACCTTGTTTTATAACCTCGCTCCTTTTAACCTTCCTAATGCTATTTGCACATCTTTCAATGTTTGCTCTAATTGTTGAATTCTAATAGCTAGAAGTTCTTCTCTTGTCAATCCATCTTCCCATGGTAGCACACTCTAAGTAGGTACTTTTTCTTCAATTGGCATAATTGATTTTTGACATGTCATAAGCTCAATAGGCATATATTCCATTACTGAGCTATGAGTTGTTCGATCAGCCCATAATGCAAATGACAAAAGTCGTGGCCATTCTCTAACCTTCCCATTACAAGCTTTAACTAATGCTTTCACAATCGATGGGTGACGATGTTCACTTTTTACATTTCCTTCAGAATTATAAGGAGTAGTCAATGATAGTTTAATTCTATATCTTTCAAAGAATTCACGAGCTTCTTGTGCATTTAATTCTCTACAATCTGCAGTGATTTTTTCTACACATCCATAGCAGCAAATAACATCTTCAAGCAGAAATCTACAAATTCCTTCCATAGATTTTGTTCTCAATGCTCTTCTTTCTACTTGATTTGATAAATCTTCATGAGCTAAGACCAAATATCTCATTTGCCATAACCTGATTGGCATAATAACCAAATCAACAACCCATTTAAAATGAATACCTAGAGGATATGTAGGATGAAGACCATCTCGATGTCGTATATTAAAATACACTTGACAAATTTAACATGACTCTACAAATAAGAGTATATCTCGATACATATTTTTCCACCAATATTGTTCCTTAAGTTTAGCAAAAGTAGTCCAAATTCCTCTATGTCCTGCCCATAAACTATCATGAAAATCCTTTAATAATTTTTTGTTTCTCTTCTTTATTGCCTATCACTCTTTGTGGCATTTCAAATCCTTTCTTCGGTCTCTTCGATAAGAATCCTTCTTGAAGCAAAAATCTATATGTTTTTTTTTTTTTTTATTTGTTTAGATTTTTCTGTAGATCAATTTTCTTTCTTAGTCAAGGTATTCAAGTAATGACCAATATCCAATAATTTTCTTTCATAAAATTCTTTAAGAAATAGCTTGTCTTCTTTGTTAAGATTTAATACTAAATAGAATTTTGATCCAACATCATCAATGTCTTCAATCATTTCGTCTTCTCTTTCATATCTTGCTCGACATAGCATGTCTACTACTAAATTGTCTTTTCTAACAACATGCTTTAATTCTGGATTTAATGACTTAATATAAGTAATCTATCTTAATATTGTAATATCCAGCATTGAACAATTAGTAATTATTCCAAGTAATGGCAAACAATTTGTTTCAATTACTACTACTAGTGCACCAATCAAATAATCCCTTTTAGCTTTCATAGCCGAAATAACTTCCCAAAGTTCTCTTTTGACTTGCAAATATGCATGTTGACGAGTACTTAAAACTTTAGCTCCAAATCAAACTGCAAATCTATTTCCACTTGAATCATCTTGACCCACAACCCATCCAATAGCAATAGGACTAGTATCCAATGTAAGAATTACTTGTCTATTATAGTCATAATTAATTTTTCTTAAAATTGGAGGTGCCACCAATAACACCTTTAGCTTCTGCATTGCTTCAGTATACTTTCTTTTCCATTTAAATTGATAACCTTGATGTAATAATTCATACAATGGATCCACTACATGAACATAATGAGGAATCCATATACGATAAAATACACAAGCTCTTAAAAACTTGCATACTTCTGTTAAAAAGTCACATGAATCTTTCATCCTTCTAATTGCATTAACTTTGCTTGGATCTGGCTTTCTCTCATAAAATCCACACAAATGGCCAAC